ATATCTACATGTACCATTGGGGTGGGGTGGGGTGGGGGGTCAGCTGGTAGCCTTGCAATATAATGATGTCTCCTCTTCGGTGAGTGTCTTCAGACATGGACGGCAGTGGGTTCCATGTTTCGGATCACTGAATTAACTCCCGCGTGCTCGACGGACAGGTTTTTCTCTCAGGTCGGCCCGTCGCACGAAGACAGACAATCCTCCATGTCACATGACGCTGGTGAAGATTTTTTCGAAAAAAAGGATGAAGTTGATTAAAAAAATATATATAACTTCACGGCAGAATTTTAATAAGTGAACCTGGATTTTCGATTGAATGTAGATTAATTGGTTTCAGTTTAATCTTACACAGCACCCTTCCCAAAACACTTAAAGGTTTGCCTAGAACAGCTTCACTCAAAACAGCTAATGTCTGTTTTGCGGGTGGTTCTAAAACATTCCGTACAAAGCTGGTATTTAATACGTGGCGTATATTATCGTCTTTTCGTTTTGTCGTGAAGTAATTCAGATTGTTTTACCACGCTTTGGTGCCTACTTGGGTTATCTTATAATTAAAAATGACATTACTTATCGTTGCTATTGCGACCGCATGTACAAAATGAATCACTAAACATGGTACATTTACAGTAAACATGTTCAATTTTATTTAGTTCTACCCATATTACGCTTCAGTCCATAGAGGAATTAATATTTTATGTATAAAGTATAGAATACAAAACAATCAAAATTATATTTTGCCGCCATCCGTTTATTTGACGTTATTAATTTAATTGGTTACTGTTCTTAATATTTGTATTGAATTTGGTGTAAATTAATTTTTTCCTGTGCTAAAACAAAAAAATGGTTTCTTAAATGATAACACGTAGTCATGATTATTTCAATGTTTATGAATCTTGGCTATGTAGAAATATAATAAAAAGCATTCGATTTGACTCAACAGACAACATATTATGAACCAATTCTTAATACAATTTTTACTTAATGTTAACTATGGATTCTCAGTATCAAGAAGGAACATTCCGATATCCTGAGCTTTTCCGTAATGCTACTGCTTATCAAATGACACACTGGGGCTGTGCTCTCGTGTTTTATAACCTTTACCTTTAATGTGAAGAATCATTTTTCACTTAAGGACCTTCTGCATACGCAATGTGCACAAAACGCGCGCGCATACCTACTATCCGAACACGTTTTCTTTTACATGCCTAAGAAAAGTCAGCGCGTTGTGAATTACTACTGCTATCTTTCTTCACAGTAAATACATCATCACAGATAATAAAAGCAGTTTTTCTCCAAGCTGTAGGTAAAATGACGGCAAACCTCAGAGTGGATCAGATGTTCCGATTACGCAAACTCTGAATTGCCGCATGTCAACTGACACATCTCACATTCATCGAAGCAAAGCCAATATCACGTCGATTAGTAGATGATGTTTAATAATATACTGCGCATAAAATCATCAGATAATTCTGTACATTTCTAACCTGCAAAATATTGCGGAAAAAAATGATAAACGCTGAACGGCTTCTGTAGCCTCAAGTGGCCACATAAATGATTTGCGTGAATAAAGCACACGTGAGACTTCATAAACAATGCAATGCGGAGTCGTGAGGTCGGCACGCAAATTACTGGATTTTTTCCCAAGTCCCTCAATTGTCAAGTCAGTAAATCGCACGTGCATACCTCTAACTATACTGCGTCAAACAGGACCAATGCTTCACCTGTCGCCTGGGTGAGACCATTGCTGACAAAAATGGCATCGTTTCACTCGTTTCCACCTCCATCATTAAGCTTCATCAACAAACTGGTGTCCCGTGCTCTCAATCTGGACATATATTTCCTGTTTCTTCTTGTACAGACACTAATTTAACATCGCAAAGGGGAAATAACATATGGGATTTCACCGGCCGACAAAATTCATTTACACGGCATGTAACATGTATCCAGTGACTGAAACCGCAACGTCACTCAGCCGGGGCGTCAATCTTGTTTAGAGAACTAAGAGTTGGTTCTTGAGACTGCAAGTCGAATATAACTATAATGGAATTTGTTTGAATTTATGCACTTCTAACATGTGGAATTATGTTTTATTGCATGTCCATAATTGGATGTTAAAGAATTGGAAGGAATTCTTTAACTGCTTGTTAAAAAAAATATGCAGACAGGTTTTTTATTAAATATAGTCATGCTGACGTACGCAAGGACTAAAACCATATAGGTTATTTGATCAATATAGTTTTTGTAATTTTTTTTGTTTAACGTTTTTTCCGATGTCACTCTTATTTTATACTTGTATGAAAAAAAAACCCTGGAACAGAAAGAACAGTGCAAAATATTGTGCAAAATAAAACAGAGGTGATACTTAAACATTTTGACCGAGGTTTGTGAGAATTATAACGTGTCCAACGAATTTTTAAAAACCTGGCTTTCATTAGTAGGCTATTCACTAACAACAGCTGAACATGTCCATAAAGGTATGAGCCATTATTATTAGTAGCAATTGACTATATCTTTGAAGACCAAACGTTACATTAATATTATAAATACTCTCTTTTAACCACATCTATACCTTCATCAGCTGAACTTACAGCAAAAATAAACAAGTCGACATTCTTTAAATGATGCCATGGCAGTTTTTCACGTTAAAATGTAAAACAGGAATCGGGAAGGAGAAATCATTTATGCCATTAAGAAGAGACAAACATTTGGAAATATTTTTGCTTATTATATATATTTTATCATTTTTGTTTACGTACATTGTTTTTTTCACATTATTACTAAAGAACACATTTAAAAAGCGTTCTTTATGGTACATCATGACCACACAATTCAATATTATCTGCTATTTTCAATTTAGTTATTTTTTATTTTTGTTGAGGTATCATTGCCGTTGACCACATTCGTCAGCACTAGACATGAGTGGATGTCCTGTATGTGGTTTCGCAGTTAAAGCATTATGAAGGCGCCTGTCGTGATTATTTGTGTTAATTTCCTTTTTACGGGAATTAACCCGCATCCTAATTATCTAGAGAAATGTACAATTAATCTTCCAGACTCGATTCATATTCTCAATACATTTCTGTCTTCACAGGTAAGGAACAAAACCCAAGAATATAAAACAAAAAGAGCGTTTACGTCCCAAATCAAATAATGACGTCAACGCCCCACGATTCTTACTTCTGGCTTCGCTGTGGTCACCTTTTCCCAAGAATAAAAGCAAAACTGAACCCAAACGAAGATAAGAGATTGTAACATTGGGAGCGCAGTCTGCAGCCTGAGCACCACTGAGAACCACTGATAGGATTCTGACCTAATTATTTTCATGCATCATTATGTTCCATCCTTTAACTCTCGAACGTGGAAATATTTCCTTAAAGCAATCAATACAGGAACAAGCAGTGCGAATCAATTACATTTTGACGGACGGAAACGGTTATACGGACCTTGATATTGAAAATGCAAGGTGCATTTGTTCTGAATTCTATTACGTAGTCAAATTAACAAAGACCTGTTGTTAACATTTAAGTGTCTGCATACTGAGAATGCAAATTAATGAGAAGAGGCCATTAGAAGAGCATGGGTACATTTAAGGCTTCATAAGTAATTTAGGCAACCACTCGCCATCAGTTGCCCCTTATAATTTTTAAAACACATTTTATAACAGCATGCTCGTTTCCTTGGGTTGGTCAAATCTGCTGTTTCTTAAAGTTTTCCATTATTAACTAAAATAAACGTTTTTTTAACACGTGCGTATAAATTTACAAAGACATCACAGCAAAACAAGCATCTGAATTCTCCTAGATATTACACATGAGGTGAGCTTACTGGAGCGGAAACTGCAGACCAGCACGAGCCTCGCACCCCAAGAGTTGCACCGCCATGGGGTTAATGGTATGTGCCAGGGTCATGCAAGGGGTTATAATTGAAAAATCAACCCACCTGCTGCATCGCTGAACCGGCTAAAAAGAGGCAAGACCTCGCTGATCAAAGCCGGGCGACACCGGAGGAGAAGGAAGTCAGTCGATAAGACGGTGTAGGTGTGCAAATCAGCTAAAAGTCCGGTTCACCTACAGTCTATCTATTTAAGCTGAAGAACCAAGTACACAGGGGAGTAACGCACCGAAGAGAACGTGAAAACATTCCTTTTGATCTACACTATTGCATTTTTAAACTCATTTCAGAGTAACTACATGTGTACATTTGTGATAGGTGCTTCCTTCTACTTGGGAAAGTTATAGGCCT